TGCAGGGATCAGGCTGAAACCCACAGTCCAACGCCGCCTGCATGTGCCTGCCGAGGGCTCACACCCAGTCAGTCCCAGTCAGGAGAGGCTCGCACTGCCAGAGCAGCACTCGCCAGCCATTAGCCCTGCTTTGGGCACCCTCCCAAGATAGTAGCCTGCAGGATCAGGCTGAAACTGGCTCTCCGCATCCCCCAAGGGGTCCCTGATTGCAAGAGGAAACAGGCCAGGATGAGGGACCCCACCGGTGCACAATCAGGCCGGGGAGGGGCCACGGGAGGGCTCCAGGGCATGTCTGGCCCATTGCACTCAGTCCCGATCAGCTAGACCCCAGCAGCAAGCTAATCTACCAGTCGGAGCATCTGCCCCTTGGTGGTCAGTGCACATCTTAGCGAGCGGTTGAGCAGCCTTGTTCAGTTGTTCTGCTCTTCGGTCTATTTGCATATTATCCTTTTATTATATAGTATTGGTTTCAGGTCTATAGCATAGTGGTCAATAGTCATATACTTTACATAGTGTTCCCCATGATATTTCCAGTACCCACCTGGCACCATACATAGTTCTCAAAGTATTATTGGCTTTATCCCCTATTCTGTACTTTAATTCATTTCTGACCAGTAGATTATTAAGTCAGAAATTGAAGAGTCCGGGATTTTACTCTATTTGAAGGCTTGTTAGCTTGCAGAAGCCCTGCGCATGGATTCGTGTACTGGTAGGGTCCCTCAGCCTGGCCTGCAGGGATCTGGCCAAAACCAGCCCGATGCACAGATTCGTCCAGGGTTGTCCGGCCCATCTCACCCGGCCCCAGTCAGTCGGACCCCGCAGCAAGCTAACCTACCGGTCAGAGCGTCTTCCCCCTGGTGGTCAGTGCACATCATAGCGATTGGTCAAATGGTCGAACAAACAGTCAGACACTTAGTATACTAAGCTTTTATTATATAGGATACTGACAGAAAACACAAGACCCATGGGTCAGAGAAAAAGACCATTTATTGCTCAGGGTGAAAACAACCACTGCCCTGGCTGGTTTGGCTCAGTGGATAGAGCGTTGTACTGGAGACTGAAGGGTACCAGGTTCGATTCCAGTCAAGGGCACATGCCCAGGTTGCAGGCTTGATCCCCACTGGGGGGCATGCAGGAGGCAGCCAATTGGTGGTTCTCTCTCATCATTGATGTTTCTATCTCCCTCCCTCTCCCTTCCTCTCTGAATCAATAAAAACATCAAAATACACACACAAAAACACCAAAGCAAAGTCTTATAACACATCCTAAGCCCCAATTACTATAAGGCAATATAGTGAGAGCCAGATGTTCTCTGTGCATGCAGCGGGGTGTGTTACAGGAAGGGAACTCCAAAATAAGGAAGAGAGACAGGCACACCTTTCTTGCCTCTGTAATGTAAGCAAATTTTCACCAAGAAGGAAGAAGGAGACTACTCCCCTGGAATGTCTCCAAAGCGGGAAATATTCTCTATCTTCATTATACTGGTTAGGAAGCAAATCTTCCCTCTGACCTTAAAGTAGACATTATGTCTAGTTTTCAAGGAAGTTTGCTATGCAAGCTCCTTCACTCAAAAGACCTGGACCATACAGAAACATTCAATATTCATGGAGAATTGTCTCCCAACACAAATTTTCCCAGGTGTATTATCTTCAAATATGTCTTATACTAGAGAACCGGTGCACAAAAATTTGTGTACTCGGGGGGGTCCCTCAGCCCAGCCTATGCCCTCTTGCAGTCCGGGACCCCTCAGAGGATGTCCACCTGCTGGCTTAGGCCCGCTCCCTGTAGGATCGGGCCCAAGCTGGTAGTCAGACATTCCTCTGAAAGCCCGGCCACCCTCGGGGTATGTCCACTTGCCAGCGAGGAGCAGGCCTAAGCTGCAGTTGGACATCCTTAGCACTGCTGAGGAGGTGGGAGAGGCTCCCAACACCACTGCTGTACTGGCAGCCATCAGACT